CAATTCTATTTTTCAGCCTTTAAACCAGGGGTCTTCAAACTTTGTGATACCATTATAAAATGAATTGTTGCACCCCCCCCTTTTGATATAAATAATTATTTAATTAGGTTTAAAACACCAATGCAGCACCTTCTGTGGCTCATCAAAGCGGCTTCATCTTTTTCCAGCCACATGATCCTGAAACAAGATATGGCTGCTTAAATGAGTCATAGATTTGTTTGTCTGTCCCACGTCCTCAACCAAAACAGAACCATGGCACAGTCCTACTATTTAGAACGTGTTAAAAAGAATCACTTTTGTTTCCAGAAAGACACATTTCCAAAATAATGAGCAACTTGCGAAATTTTCATTTCATTTCTGCAAAAAGTGGCAAAGAGGTATCTTAGGGATTTATTTTCCTCTCTGCAGATCTTTTGTCTATTTGTCTAGCTATTCTATGTCCAGTAAGGGACAAAAATGAAAACCCCACATTCTCGTTTTAGTTAATGATTCCAAGAGATCTGAAAGTAACTATAACCTCAATTAATTATAATAATGTATTTATTTGTATTATAATTGCTAAATATATTCCATTATTACCTTCTCATATGGTATCTGAAGAAGATCCAGCACAACACTGTGGGCTCCCATATTTTTAAGTAAGCGTTGCTGCTGATTTCGACATTTCTTATTTTGAACGCAGAGCCCTCGCAATCGGATCAAAATCTGGTGATGAAAAGTAACCCATACTGGGCATAAATATATATATATATATATATTTAATATACAATTTTACTATAATTAGTGTATCAACATACCTCCATAACTATATTATAGTTGTTACTCTTATTGATATCAATCTGAGGTTTCTTACTCCCATCTTGGACTGGACTTAACATACTTGAATCCTATCATTGCAAGGAAGAGTCACAAAGAAAAGTGTCAATTTCTTTAATTTAAAGAAATTACTTACTCTGTTGTGGCCCCTGCTGAACAGCTTCCTCCTGAGACCTGTAAGGTCCCAACACTCCTGGCCTTCTAAAAATCTAGCTCTTCCTCCAGGCACTGCCATGACATTAGTTGAGCTCAACACAGGTATAGCTGTGCTATGAGTTTGTTATAGTGCCCAGGTTTGTATTTGCGTTCTGAGGTTTTATTTTACATATATCTATGAATCCACCCAGGACTATGCATTTAAGATAGTGGCCATATAAATTCTCTAAACAAATAGATACATTCAGAAAACTGAATGGTAAATTGTATTGTTGATTTATTCTTTGCTCTTTAAGAGTGATCTTAGAGCACTACAAATTAGTTTATATGTTTTGCTTTCACGCTTCATTGAAAGGGTAATCCGTTAAAAAAAAGCCAAAGGAATCCAAAGAATCTCAAACTGTTTTTCATTTAGCATGGTAACTGAATTGCAACCAACCTACCAAACAGTTCAAACACAGCACCACATTTACATGAAGAAACAACAGTATAACTTTCAGAATTTCTAGATGAGACACTTTATTAACTGTTGCCCAGTTATAATGTCAGCCCCATTCCATCATGTTTGTGGGAAAGGAGCATTTGGTTTGATTTGTTATGGCTTGATTGCTTGAATCCAGGTTGCCTGTGCAGTTGTATGTTTTTAACTATTTTTACTGTTTTGCATTTGTATTTGTAAGCTGCCCAGAGTCTATGGGAGTAGGTGGCCGTAAAAAATTTAAGATAATAACAACAATGTTGCTTGCAAGCCTTTTGAAGCCTAGGAAAATGAAAGTAGGAAGTGGCATAAAGGACCAAGACCAAAAAGACTCACTTCAATAGGTTCATCGCTCCCTTTTGTCTGATTTTCACCCAATACTCCATTTTCATAATTACTGCTTTTTTCAACCCAAAGTTCTGATTTTTCTACAGTCAGCCTTAGCTGGTCAAGGTCAGTTTTAATTTGCTTGTAACTGTCCACATCTTGGTTAGACACCAGCAACTGTACCTGTAAATATTCAGAATTCAACAAGAGTTAAATTGCGTAAGAGCAGCTATTAGAAGTGTAGAGGTTTTACCCCAAAGTCTCCTTGTGATGTAGTATTAGGAAATGACGCTTTTGGAAAATGCTTTGAAACAATAGATTTTAGACATCTGGAAAAATGAATAAAATGCAAATGATTTCATATTAAACCACATTATTTTAGATTGTTAGACACTGATGAGTATAATAAAATAAAAACAGCATTTTGTTTTCTCTTTCTGCTTTTGATTAATAAAGGAATATGCTATTTTCCCTTTATTCAACTAATTTGCTGATATACACCCAAATCTTTTCCTGAACATTTGGAATTATTTTCCAGGTACTGTATAAGTGGGTAAATTTAACTGTAATGACATGTACACTATTCATTTTCTGACAAGATGACTATAACATCTTCAAAAGACTTCATCATCAGTTTCTATATTGTTATCATAAGCAAAACTGACTGAAAGGCTGTTGTCTTACAGAAATTATTAATAAAGATGTTGTCAATCCAGATTTGAAACTTATATCTACACCAGCCCCGAAGTTAAGCAGAAATCAATGTAAAATACAGTGAAAGTATTTTTAGTTCACTATTGAGGACTGCATTATTTGGAGGAGAAAAAAGAGAAAGTTATCACTACTCATAAATAAAAATTACAGATTGCTTTTTCTTGCAATATAGAATGTTGCTTTGTTACAGAACTAATATATGTGTCCCTATTTTAAGTTTCTTTCAAAATATTGGGTACCAACAGAATTAAAAGTCTGCAAAATAGTAAGATGAATTGTTCAACCTACATAAATTATGGAATTCAATCTATGTTTATTGTAACACATTAACCTACTTGATAAATGAAATAAGAAAGTTGCATGACTCATTTTATTTTGCACCACTTATTCAGAATTATGTAAACTGGGTCTCTTGTGGCTATTAAGAGGAAAACCAGAACCTGCACAAAAAGACAGGGGTCCCTGGAGACAGGGGGCAAAAATAAGTCAAGATAGTGGTAAAATCCTGCAGGGCTTAGATTGCATAGGTGTGACTACCATTTTTATTCTTCTGCTTATTTCTGCAGACACCCTTGAAAGAAAGGAAACTCAGAATGCCCTATTTCGTGGGAACTCCAATTTGCATATCTGAAATGTCATAATGTTGCCCACACATTAGAAAGAATAACTGTAGCAAGAAAGTTACTTTAACAGCAATGCCCAAGAGCTGAGACTATCAGAAAATTGAACATTGTGGCCAATTCCAACATTCTGAAGTTTTGTTTTACTTTGTTGAATTCCCACAGAACCACAGCCTAGAGTGCCTTGCAACTATTTCCCACTATTATCTATAGCTAGATCAGTTTATGTCCTGATGACACCTCCACAAAAGATGTCACTTAATAGGGGACAGCCACTGTTTATGTCCCTACTCAAACTAGACCCATTTCAGTAGCTGCTAGAAGGTCATTATACAGCAACCAACAAAATGTTGAAAAATAATACCCTCCCTGCTCTGCTTTGCTGTAGCGTATGGAGACAGCCTTGAAGAAGATACATGGCAGCCATCAGAAAAATATGAATTTAGCCCAGGAAGACAGGAAAGAGTGAGGAAGAAACTCAAGACTGCTCCACTTTGACTCTCTTTGGTATAAGACAGAAGGAAAGAGAAATGCTGTCAGGCTTTCAAGATTGATGTTAGCCAGATCAGGAAACAGACACAAGAAATGTTAGAACTGTACTGATAGAAGCTATAATAACAGAATCTCAAGGGCCAATCTTGAGTTTCTACCTCACCTTCTCCTGTCTTCCTGGGCTAAGTTCATGTTTCCCTAACAACTACTGCATACCTTCTTCAAGATTATCTGCACTCCTCTACCCTCACTATTACAAATTCAGAAGAAGGAAACAGCACTGTAAATGGGAATGTTACAAGGCTTTCCTTTTCTCTGCTGAAAAGGAATATCTAACCCATTGGTTCTCAACGGGGGCGGTACCGCCCCCCGGGGGGCGGTGGGAGGATGCTGAGGGG